GGTGGTACGGCTAGGAGCATGGGCTTTGCACAGAAAGACCTTGGTTCCTATTCCCAGCTTTACTCATACACTATTTTACCTCTATCCCTTTTACTGAGTTAACATTTTCAAGAACTAGGAAACGGCTTGAACGACTAGACTTTTATGGGATTTGACTTTTTTGGTTTTAGTTCTTATCCCTGAAACCTGGAAACATCTAAAGTCTCCCATGTTCTTGAATGGCTGCCATGAAACGCAAGGTGAAATTTTAGCATTAAAAAGGATCCATACCATGTCAGAGGTGAAACGCAGAAGCTTGCAGTTCCCTGATTTGCATTCTCTGATGTCCCTCAGAAACAAGGTAGGGGCTAACCTTATCTCCTCTTGACACTCAGGAAGGGCAGCTATGTGTGCTTCCAGGACTCAGTCTGGGAGGGCTGGCCTCCGCAATGTAACCCCTGGGAAAATGTTCATAGGCCAAGTTCCTCCCATGAAGATGACTGTTGTGCTATAGCAGCTGGTGTGTCCCATTGGGTGACTGCTCTCCACATCTGACAAGTCCCTGCTACAAGAGCCATTTGTCTTAGGTTCCCAAACATGCTGACATTCAGAGGAAAATCTGTGAATCTCTCCCCCATGGTTATGGCTCCTTGGGAGTGTGCGTGGCTCACGTAACCACCTGTTGGAACAAAGCATCTTCCTTGAGACTCTTCCACCCTCTGGCATGTGAAGCATCACCCTGTGGGCCTTCACCGAGGGGCTGCTCACTCTTCTGTGATGAGGGACCATCAATGCCATCCCAAAGGAAGGATGATGTCATCACAGCCCTGGTGTCCTTCTTGTCCCCCTGCAACTCTAGAGACAAACATCCTTTCCCTGAGAGACTCACTGTTTGTTCCCAGTGAAAAGATATCATAACTGTGCCCTGTGTACTGACATTGGATGTTTTTTACTGAGTCAACTCATTTTTTACTGAGTTGACTCAGTAGAAACATCCAGGCTTGTTGATGACAAGTGAATACTCTGATTCTCACATGAAGCTGAATTGTATGTCAGTGTGCCCCAGATTTTTGCATTTTGTGGGAAATGACATAGTGATGCTAATTTTTGTTTCTGTCAAATAAGGGCGCTAACCAAAATTTACTATCATGGATCTTGTTGTAATAAAAGAATACAGAGCTATCACTGCATAAAGGAGATGCTATCCAGTTGAACAGACCAATTGAGCAGACTTAGTCTTGTGATTATGACTTTTCTCAGTTTGCTGAGGTTGGGTGAAAACTTGGTCAGGCATTGGCTCTGGTCACTGGTCCTGAGTTTGGGATCCACTGTTCCGTGATACTCGGTAATTTAGTGGAGAGATCCTTGAAGATCCTCCTTCAAGTCTTTTAATTTGACAGGACCAGAGAGGTCACAGCTATGGTACCATGTCCTTCCTTCCTCTGTGCACATGTAACTTTATGACACATTTGATCTAATGGTTGCATATCTGGGCATCTTGTCTCTTCCACCCAGGTTGCAAAGCTAGGTAGATAGAAGGCACTGAATTACTAATTATTTGAATTTATTTCTGTAATACACATTGGTATGCTGTTTAGTACGCCCTGCAGGAGGCTGTTCACACATTTGTGTGTTTGTGTGTGTGTGTGTGTGTGTGTGTGTGTGTGTGTGTGTGTGTGTGTATGTGTGTGTGTATTTTGGAAGTCTGTTCGATTTCCAAATTTATGTAGGTGCATAAATGAAAGGTACATAATTCTCACTTTTGCAGAATTAAATGAGCTTTGCAGAGTAGGAAAACAAGTCTTTGGGGTCAAGTCTCTACCCTTTATTTTCCATTTCCTAATAAAGTTAAAAGATTAAAATACTGATTGAGTAGCTGTGGCCCTGAGCTTGAAGCATCTTCAATGTCACTCATCATTTTTGATGATTTAGTAAGAATGTAGGGTGTAGTGAGGTGGTTGATGTGTTCTCACAAAATGTCAGAATTGTTTTTCATTTTAATGTACTTTTTTTTTAACTTAAAAGATCATAAAATGTTCCTCAGAGTGACAGTTGAGCTTCAATATTTATGACTTTCTGATTGCTCTAGCAGTTTATAAAAAAATGAGTCCTCAAGTAAAATTTGAGTGGAAAAGATTAAAATCCAGAATTATGGACTTGTTCATTTGACTGAATACTCACTTTTTCCTAGAAGTTTTATGTATCAGCCCCAATTTCCCTATATTTGACAGTCCTTGAAAAAAGTACTCAATCCATTTCCTGAAAATATATGAAGAGTTTTATGTTTTGAAAATGAACCCTTTTGGATCAGTATCACGTTGTCCTTACAAGCCAAGCACACCCACCATCTGTCTGGCAAATGAATGACTCATTTTGGGGTGCAAGCTGGAAAGCCAATGGATAAACGAAAGTGGAGAAGTGGCAGAACACCCTAAACTTTAGGGATTTTAAACTGCTAAGATATATGAT